TTAGGTAGAAGGAGTAGATGCCTTTTTTAAGTTACACATCGGTCCAAAACAAGACTATATTTATATATATATATCTTAATACATGTCTGGAGGGGATCTTTAGAGTATCATCCTAATTGTTTGGTTCAGGCTATTGACTCATCATGCATGGCTCTTTGGTGTGGTGTTATGATTAATAGTCAAATAAATAAGTTGAGTTTCTTCGTGTTGTGTTAAGTGGAAAAGTACTGTCAACACAGTGAATGTTGTTGCTCCACAAGTCTTTCTTCTTCCTAATAAGTTGTTAAGATAGATATATGCTTTTTAAGATAAAAAGTCCACTCTCAGGGTGATTTTGATTGGTCATTCAGACAAAGCATGCTTGCAAATCCCGTAAACTAAATGTAATTAGATTAGGCTAAATGACAGTATGTTAATTATCACATGCCTTAGACTGTTTGTCTTTAAGATAAGATATGGAAAATCACATATATATATTTATGTGGATAACCTGATGATCACTGAACCACTGATATTCCATCAGTAAATCAGTAAATATTGTAGTTTAGATTGTTATATAGTATCCTAAAAGTGTAGCATGTAATGTTCATGGTGAAACAATACGTTGTTCAGCCATAATGGTATATAATCGTTCATGATATTGTTTCTTGAAATACAAGATTATTATTAAGATTATACAAAAGTCAAAACAGACATATAGTATATAATGTAAACTTCATACCTTTTGTTTCCATAGGTACACAGTGCAGGAGAGGAAGATTTTGGACAATCAGATGCTACAAGAACAAAATCCCTGTTGTTTAAAAAAAGTCTATGCAAAGGTAGAGTATGTTCAACATTTTTTGTATGATCACAGATCAAAAGCAAACTGCTGCTTTGCTACACTGCAGTCATACTTTATAGGAACATGAGGAACATAATGTGTCATAATTGTTTGTGTGGTCACCAAATTGCTGACCCCATTAAGAACAAAAACAGCATTCACACAGTTCAAATGGTTCTACATGTGTTAAGAAAAGGGTGTAGCCAGTTAACACAATAACAGCTGCTGTAACCAGAACGCTTCGGCTCAGCATTCACACAAAGACGTGTGTATTAAATGCACAAACCAATTTGTGGGTGCGAAATGTCTTGCTAAACTTGAATATGTTACTTTGGGATCACTGTAGGTCTTGTATTGAGGTCAGATACGATGTGTGAGGAATTGAATACATTAAACAAATGTATGTAGAAAATGATGAATGTGTGAGCACATGTGTATACAGGTCACTGAGCAGGTGTATTTTTCACTAGGAACATAGAGTGCTGTATGTGCCTTTGTGTGTCTAATCAGGTCACACTGCAGCTGCATTTATACAGTGGTATACAGTGCATGGATGTGTTGCCTGACTGTGTTTGTGTCCCTGTGTAGGTGAAGTGGTGCGGGGCGACAGCATGCAGTCAGACAGCAGCGGCTACGCAGACGAAGAAGGCAGCTCCTCATTTAACACACGCAGATGACAGAAAACCAGGAACTCCATTGTAAACAACGTTCTAAGTAGTGTTTTACTGCCTGTGGACCTTTTCCTGCACTGTGGATTTGAAAAGCGCTTCCAAGTAAAGGCCGCCAGTCAAACAGGCCCAACAGATTAAGATGTCATGGTACTGTAAGAGTCTTGGTCACATGAGGACGTACACTGAAGCAGTAATAAAGTTCCAGATATGCAAAGCACTCAGTTTCTCCTCAGTGCTCACACTGAATACAGAATATTGTGAATACGTAAACATAAAACTGTTCAAAGGTCTTGATGAAATACTGTGTGGACTGTATTTTATTACAATGTTAATTCAACAGGGAGTTTAGAGCATGTGCAGGTTGTTACAACAACAGTTGGCAGTTGTTTACAAAAATGCTTTATTGGAAACAGTCAATTTCACATGGAGCTCACATTAAAGTTAAATGTTTTTCTAAAACTGGGCAACTTGTTCAACTACCACAGTCAAACTTATAGTCATCAGCATTGATGTCAATGGTCTCAGCACCTAAAATTCACTAAAAATGAGAAGCTAAGTTCCTTTTTTTAATAATAAGAAAACAATATGCAGATCTGCCTATTCAGATAATGAGGTCTAACACACTGTACTGTAAACCAGTGGGAGTAGATGTACAGAAAGTTGGTCAGCTTGCATTGTGCAAAGGACAGTATCTTTTCAAGTAGTGCAAACTGTACTACTTTCAATACTTTTCAGATGAGTGCAAGGCAGTGTATCAACCAATATGCAAATACAGTAAAGTGGGTGATAATAAAATCATACACCGAGTCACAACAGATAGTTGGAGGATATGATCTGGAGAATCAACGTCATCAATTACAGGAATCATAGACATAGACAAAAAAAAAAAAAACTTGCATTATAAACAAAACAATATTGGGAATATTGATAACATTGAAACACCACATAAAATATGTGGCAGCTTTGCTTGTCTGGTCTGTTATTGAAAGTCAAAGGTGGGTTTTAACATTGTTAATATGTTATTATAAGGAAAACAATGCTTTATCAGAAGACTCATAGTACTTTTCCCCCTAATCACAAACTTTGTATCTGTTTTACTCTGAAATGCATTCCTAGAGCTTCTGGGGCTGAGTGCTAAAAGAAGAACAATAAAAAATAGAAAAAAATGCACATTTTTTAAGCTCTGATAATTACACTTAACAATGTTTTAAAATTCAGGAGTAAATGGGACCAATAAGTCAATTTTAAATGTAATGTTTTTTGTAATTTTTTTCTTTAATCATCACATTTAAATAGACAGAAATGACTCACACTGTATTTTCACACTCTCTTAGTGTTCTCATAATCGTGCTGCATCAACAGAAGCCCAGCTCTAGCAACAAAGTCTCTAAAGGGGCAAAATTAAACACATTAGAAGGACAATTCATATTGATTTAAGCCATCTGAGTCTACTGATTCTTCTCTTGATTTCTACTACGCTTAAGAGTTTCACAATTACTTTTAAACTTTATTTAAGTTCATAATGTTAAACAAAGATAACATGGTGAGTTTCAACTGACGGTAATCTTAAACTGAGTTTTAAAAAAAGAAAAATTACAAAAATGTAAATCTTTAAGGCCAAACATTAAATACATCACAGAGACTAACAGTTTGAGCTTTTAGGGTTCAGATTAACATACAACAAAAGCCACATTTTCAATATAATTTCATCAGGCTCATCTGAAAACAGGGCAGTCTTTAAAATTGTTTTCCTCTGATATCTTATTCAGCAGAGTCCTTTTCTCTCCACGTTTCGGCACACGGCTGAAAATTCTTTTCTTACGTTCATCCATGGGAATGGGGATTAAACAAAAGCACCAATAATTGGCGATTCCATAGTCCAATTTCTACAAACCACTTTGAACTTTTGTACTTTTTGTTGTATTTGCATTTGTCTTCAGTTATTTGGGAACTCACAGCAAGAGTACCATTCATAATTTCAGATAAAGACTTGTAAAACTTTAGATTTGAGGAAAATACAGTGCTGCATATGGATGCTGAGCAAACAAACACTGAACGTATTGAAAATGCATTTTAAAATAAAATGTCTTGGAGAGGGGTATGGGAGGTTTTGGGCAACTAAATCTTCTTTGGCAAAGAAAGGAAATCAACCCAACAAAAAAAAAGGGCTCCAGGGGGTTCATTTAAGGACAGAAAAAGTCTCCTTCTCCAAATTTGAGGTAATTCATGTTATTTGAACTCATCACAAAAGTGCCTCCTTCATCCAAAGTGGAAATGTATCCTGGCGTGATGAGTTTGAGTCTGTGAGGAGGCAGATGACTTGATCACTTCCCTCCAGCCATGATTTTGAGGTACTGCAGTGCATTGTGGGCTGCATTGGCTCGAGCAGCGTCTATGCTCGGAGCAAAGCCGTGGCACACTGTGATTGGCTGCGTGGACAGCTCCACTAGACACTGGCAAAGGCCGCTCAGACTGCGCTCCTCTGAAACAAGAAAAGAACAAGAATGTTTTATTTTTTTAAACAATTACTTTGTTTCTGTTTGCTTCAAACAGCAGAATTTTAATATAAAACAGATATTTCCACCATCGTGGATGTAGATGATGTCTTTCACTCTGCATTATAGTCAATTTCACAGGCATTTCTATCTCCATTATAAATCTGATGAAGGATTTAACAGTTACGACCCTTTTTCATACTCTTACCATAAATGTCTCTGTGATTTACATGCTTAAAGTAACCCAGATACCAGCCATACTTCAGTTACGATCTTAGAGTTTTAAGTGTTCAAACAACAAAATAATGTGTAGCGATATATGGCTGAAAAGACATTCAAATGATTAGAGCGAATTACCTTAATTTTGACAAGAAGGAGCAGATTTACACTCACTTCCAGCTATAAGTAGCCACTATTTTCTGGGATGTGGGGATATCAGACTAGTTAGCTTCAGATTAAGTGTCACTTAAAGGTGCAGTCAGCCACTTTATTCCAATAAAAATGTTCCTCACAATCCGCTAGCTGTCTGTTCTGTGTGTCCAAATAAAATAAATATGTATGAATCTATGTTTATTAGATAAATCATATGAACGTAACTGTGTATCGCAAACTCACTGGGTGCTGGCTCCTCGACAACTTCCAGTACAAATAACAAATAAATATCACTAATTCAACTAGTAAATTCAGCACTACATTAGTCGAAACGTGCCACACAAAAAAAAAAAGCTTAAAGTTCTGGTCCGTTTGTGAAGTGCTGTCCACAGATAAAACCGTGACAACACGCAGCTGTGGGCTACTTCCTCCATATCTGGTGACAGTAATAGAAACCACACAACATGCCATTTGTTTTTTTTTGGTATGCTGCCATCAAACAACAATGCTGTAACAATAATGCTGTGAAGGTCTTGGCTCGTGCAGATGGTGTAAAGCAGATGTGAAAGCAGTCAGAGGTTTATTGTATACAGTGTCAGCCCCAACTCATTCATTATATTTACATGTTCCTAACTAAAATGCAGCTCTTTATGTATATAGCCAGTGATGTCGGTTGACTGCACATTTCTTTTTAACCTTTCAGTGTTAAACCTAAGCTCCTGCTGTAGTCAGAACGTGGTGCTAAACAGAAATGAAAGTCAGTTTCTTAATACTATCGCTTGTGAACTGACCTAGGTCCAGGTAACTGACGTCAAAGCGCTGCTCCACAGACAGGTCGCTCAGCAAAGAGCAGAAGTTGGAGTCGGAGGGCATGCCCAGAGGGTGGCTGCGGAGCTGGAGGATCTTCTCTCCAGCAGAGTTACGCAGGGAGTCCCACGTGCAGCTGAAGCCTTTACTTTTGCCTGACTCAGCTCTGCTCCCCATGTGCTGTGTGTGCAGAGGAGATAATGGTAATTGAATAAACATTATTATTATCGCTCAGCAAGATTTACAAGCAAGAAATGAGGTAATGGGGTGCACAACTTAAGGTTTTCCGCATAACATTTGAAGGACAAACAACTGTAAATGGCAGACGTAATTACATACTATGTAACGCAAACAACATTTGCATGATTTTAAGGAACGTAACTGGGGATGTGGTAAGTGATTGGGTTTTAGTTACAGGTTCTGTAACGTTGTGCACCCCTTCCCGTGATGTGTCAAATAATTTAACATGCAGGATCTTTATAGGCTAGTGCACAGAGGAAGTTTATTTCTGTTTGTTTTTCACCATGTTGAATGTGTCCTCCTCTGTGTCAGCGTCGTTGCTGGTCCTCAGGTCCACGGGAACATCATGTATGCGCGATAACATCTTAGCTGCAGCGTTCCTCTTGGCTAGCTTTTTGGAGGTTCCACTGCCTAGAGCGGAGAAGGAGACTGAGTAATATTGAGTAATGTGGAACAAGCCATGACCGCAGATTGATAACAAGTTTGACTTGAATATTTATTCATTTAGACTTTGATAAACAGAATCACACAAAGAGTTTGCTTGATATGTGCTCTAATTTAACTAGCCTAATCTAAATCTTGTTAAAATTAATATTTCAGTCTATCAGAGGCCTGTAAGCTGTGCCAGAGACCTGTCTATGCACTTGCAATTCAGGTGTTGCTAGTATAGGTTAGTGAAGGTCAGAAATTACTCAGCACCTAACATGCAGCACATATGATGTTCACATATGACATTCAATTAGTTTTCTGCATGCCATTTATAAAGACAGTTTACATTTGCCATGTTAATTCATTAAATATTGCAAAAAAGAGACAAAAGCTGCAAATACACACAATAAAATCTTAATAAAGTTATTCCTTATACCAATTTCAACAAATCTCTCGACTCTGCACGTCATGGTGAATTCTTTGCGGTGTGCTGGACCGGACTCCTGGGTGACTGTGTACTCTGGCAAACGCCATCCTTTCTGCACCACCAATTCCTGCCAAAGAAGAGGTGAATACTTATAAAATCGAAAAGGCATGCAACTATAAACTATACTACTGGAAAGGACCGACTGAACAATGAAAACACAAGTCAACACAAAACCTTAAACTACAGTAGTTATTTTTGCTTATTCACCTGCAGAGCTCCTACAGGGTTACATTCAGACTGCTGAGAACTGCCGGAGGTCTTCATCTCTGACTGGGAGCTGTGCAGAAGATGAGATAAAACAAAAACAGAAGAGGAAGTAATGAAACCACACAGATCTCCGTCTCAAAACGCTTTGGCATGCTGACATTAACTGAGTCATGTTTGATTTTAACTTTAGAGCCTGTGTAAAGAAAACAATTAAACAAGAAACTGACCCGTCTCCATCAGTAGACACGTCAACCCCAATAAAA